TTTTATTTTACAGAGTGCTTAAACGTTGCAACATCACAAAAGCCCAATATTTAAACCAACATGTTAATATCTTAAGATCTGAAATTTGTTTTGCATTTGCAACATTTTCTTTTATTTTCCTCAGTTTGTGACCATTATTTTTATTTCTTCTTTTTCCTGTTCAGTTTATCATATCAAACTTTTTTATTACTAATGTGTCTTGTCATATTTTCTTTGAATTTTCTATAAAGACGGAAAAAACAAAACATTTCCATAAACCCATCATCATCATCATCATCATCATCATCATCATCATCAGTTTGACAGTCGTTAGGCCTTGAAGTTCGGATCGGTTCTGGTCTGTGGGTCGCAGACAAACCAGAACCTCTGGTAAAGTCCAAACCAGAGTCCAGATGAAGCCGATAACAGAACCGCTGAGTTTTCTGCTGATTATCGATCTGAAGGTTTTGATCGGAGCTGCATTCCCAGCAGCTGCAGATCAATGATCATCATCGATTCTAAGGGACAGCAGCGCCTCCATCAGGTCACACATAGAACTTCCGCCATCAGTTTGTTTCATATCTAAAGGTTTAATAAAAACATTTTTATATAAATATTTGATTTTATCAGCCAGTTCAGTTCCTGATTCATCTTTTATTTTCGTCATATTTATTTATACTTTATTTATTTATGCTCAGCCTTCTAATCACTGACTTCCGGTGTTTTACCATTTTTATTTTATTATTTCAGATTATTAAATAATATTTTCCTGAAGGAGAAGAAACTACGCCAATCACCTGCAGCAGCCAATCACCTGAAGGGAACGAGGAGCTTGACGTCATCACACGGGTGAGTCAAGTCGCTACAGACGGAAAATAAATGAAAATGCCTTCAAAATAAAAGCCTAAGAAAGGACCGATCCAATCCGAGGATTCTGATTGGCTCTTAGCTGCCAGGTGTTTGTGAACCATCAGGATCCCGACAGGGAGAAGTTCTGGGATTGATTCTGGTTCTGGTATAAGAATTTCCCTTCATTCAATAATAATAATAATAATAATAATAATAATAATAATAATAATCAATTTAATCAACTTTTCATTAATAAAAATCTCAAAGTGCTACACGGTGTAGCTAAAAACAAATACAATCAACAATCAATAAAAGACAGTCATTTAAAAGTGGAGCAGGTTTGTCTAAAAAGAAAAGTTTTCAAGCCGGTTTTAAAATTGGACAATAATTGCGGGGCTCTGACCAATAATCTGATCAATAATCTGACCAATAATCTGATCAATAATCTGACCAATAATCAGATTATTGGTCAGATAATCAGATTATTGGTCAATAATCTTATTGGTCAGATTATTGGTCAGATAATCTGACTAATAATCTGACCAATAATCTGATCAATAATCTGACCAATAATCTGACCAATAATCTGATCAATAATCTGACCAATAATCTGACCAATAATCTGATCAATAATCTGACCAATAATCTGATTATTGGTCAGATAATCAGATTATTGGTCAATAATCTTATTGGTCAGATTATTGGTCAGATAATCTGACCAATGATCTGACCAATAATCTGATCAATAATCTGACCAATAATCTGATCAATAATCTGACCAATAATCTGACCAATAATCTGATCAATAATCTGATCAATAATCTGACCAATAATCTGAGTAATTGCATTGGGATCAGCAGCTGCAAGCAGCAGAGCCGCAGAGTCAGAACCAGATCGGACCAAACAGGAAGTAGAAACATCAGGAAGTTCCTGCTCACCTTTCTGCCCATCATCATCATCATCATCATCATCATCATCATCATCATCATCATCATCATCACAGGTGATCTCAACATGCTGCTCTCCTGTCTGGATCCCATTCTCCTCTCATTTCCTGTTTCTGACGTTGGGCAGCTGAAAAAAAAATACAATTTCACAATTACAATGTTTCCATTAAATAAGGAATTAAGTTAAAATCACGCGATAACCCATTAAAATCATGGCAGCTCCGGATGCAAACGTGATATATTCATAATTCAGCCAATCAGAGGAGACTCATCATTTTTTGCGTTATTGCTTTAGATGTTGTGTTTTTGCAGTGAATAACGTGATTATTGATAGCTATGAAGAAAAAAAACATCCCTGCTTTTTTCTTTGCATCTTCTGCTGTTTGCGTTGCACCTCTTATTGTGAAGGTCCAGCCCGGAAGTGCGGTCGCGGTGTAAACGCGGGAAGCTTTGCGGTCCGTCCATCTGACAGCTGGGTCAGGCTGTTCGGTTCTCCTCGCAGCTCCTTCATGGACTGAGGAGTCCCTGCAGCAGCGGGTGTCAGAGCCGAACCGGACCGGACCGAACCAGCCACCTCCTCCCCGGTCCGGCCATGGATGAGCAGGCCGGCCCCGGAGTGTTCCTCAGCGGCGGCGGCGGTTCGGGTTCCGGCGGCACCGGGAGCGCCAGAGCCCCGCCGCCCGCGGACGGAGCCGCGGCCCGGGCTCACTACAGCATCCCGGGGATCCTCCACTTCCTGCAACACGAGTGGGCCCGGTTCGAGGTGGAGTGGGCCCAGTGGGAGGTGGAGCGGGCCGAGCTCCAGGTGAGACCCGGTTCGGCTCGGCTCGGTTCGGATGCTAAATGACCTAGCGGCGCTTGTTGTGTTGGTGGTTCCGCGTGTGTGTGTCGGGAACAGGTGGACCTGCGTGGTTACGTCACATTTTTTACCTGCGGGACAAAACGCGTAAAAAAAAAAACAGGAACAAGGGGCTTCCATTATCGGACACAAGCTGCTCCCAAACATCAGACACGGAGAACTCCTGCCGGTGTCCGATAAAGGACGCACGTTGGTTGTTTGCGAGAATTCCCCGCACTGTCCGCCCCGCACAGGCTGCGTTGACCGGTTCGGATCTCTTCAGGAGGAGTTCGGGTCGGTAACGCAGCTTTTACTGACATTATGGACCTAAAAATTAATAATTTATTAGTAAAACAGCAGGAATATTAGAGAGATGAAGATGGACAGGATGTATCCGGATAACCTATGGTGATGATGATGATGATGATTATGGTGATGAAGGTCCCGTCAGGCTCCAGGAGTTACAGCTCCTCTCTGTGAAACCCGGGTCAGCTGATCATCCCAGAGGAAATGGGCCAGAAGAACTGGAGAAGCACCTCAGAGCCTGACCTGGTGCTGAACCGGACCGGGTCCCCTCCACTCGGCTCCGGTTCTGCTGGTTCAGCATCTGGTGTTGGGCCAGTGGAAGAAAAATGTTTCTGGTTTTCAACATTTCAACTGACTGAACTCTGAACAGAGTCCAGATGTCCTGGTTCTGTCCTCACAGAACATCCAGGAGACACAGGAGCCCAAAGAGAACCATCAGAACCCGTCAGAACTACAGATTTTATTTGTAAAAAACAGTTTTAAACCAGAGGTGTCCAAAATGCGGAGCGGGGGCCATTTGTGGTCTTGGACGGATGTTTTGCAGTTGGATACCGACCCGTTTGACCCGTCTGACCCGTCCAGTTCAGCTGGTTGAGAATTTTAATTTCAGTCAGGATAAAATTTTCTGATACGATTTTCTGACAAGGGAAAATCTTTGTGTTTTTATAACCAGAAGAACTTTGTTTATCCAGAGTCTTTCACTGAAAAATCAACTTTACTGAATTAAAATCAGCTTTTATTTCATTTATTACATTCGACTAATATTGCAGCATTTTGAAAGAAAGGGACATAAATCCTACTTTCATTCTGAGAATAAATTTGTTCAGTTGAGCCCAAAAGAAATTTGAAACTACAGGCTTTTCTTTAATGCAACAAACAAACGTTTTTTGTTTTGGATCCACGACGAATGAAATGCATTTCACACAAAAACAAAAAATCAGACGACTTTGTTTGCTTGATTTGATTTGATTAGACGATTTTAGCCAACATGACAGAAAGTTTTGTGACCCCAGTGCTTTGCTCTGCAGAGGGTCGGACCGGACCGGATCAACTGGACCGAAGTTTATTTCTGGGATGTCGAGCCATCTGAGTCCTCAGCAGATACCTGGGAATGTTGGAGTTTAAAGACATAAAGATGGGAATTCCTGAACGAGTCAGAGGCTGAAAGTGGGTCAGAACCAGAGAAGAACTGGGTCAAGTTCTGACTGGGACTTCCTCCTCCTCTCCTGCATTCGTCTTCTTGTTCTCCCTGAGAGTGCTCCCCTCATCTTCATCAGCTTAGCCCCCACTGCCTCGTCTTCATCCGGAACCATAATCCCCTCGCTGCTCCAGATTCAGGCTGCAGGAAATTCCCAGTTGTCCCAGAATGAAGTGGATGATGTCTGCAGTGGGAGATGAAATAGGCAGCAGAGTGAGACCTCCTGTCTATGCGTAATCTAACTCTGATGCTAACCAAAAAAAACAAAACAAACTCTGGTCCTCCAAACCTCAGTCTGGGTTCGGTTGAAGTGAACTCTGGTTCAGTTTGAATGCATATGTGACCATAGACCACCCCAAAAGCAGGAAGTGGACTACAGCGCAGGGAATTCTGGGTAAATACAACCAAAGCTAACTTGTTAGCCTAGCAGGAGAAATGGCTCCTAGATTTTAGCCAAAGACTAAAGAGAAATCCCCCAACCGCTAAAATCTGACGCCTCCATCTTGTTTCCACCTGGTGAAGAAGGAAGTTGCTCTCAGTGTCTTCAGAGGTTTTTGTGTCGTTTCCTTCAGTGGTTCTTGGTGCAGCGCCCCCAGAGGCCAGGAGGGGAACAGATTGGTTTGACTCAGAGCCACAGCAGCTGGAGGTGGAGCAGATGTTTAGGTTCCAATAGAACCGGGTCGACCGCACTGTTTGCAGACAGGTTCTGAGTCGGGTCTGAGTGCTGCTGGAGTTCCTGCATCAAACATCACAAATGGAGGAATTTTCTCTAAATGTTCAACATTGCAGCTTTTAACACCTCATCGGATTGGTCATGTAGAAAGAGACCCGATGTGAAGGGGTCAAAGGTCGGTCAGTTGGTCTGGTTTCCCAGGAGGCTTTAAGGTCGCGACTCCCACAGGAATGAGGCTCATCCTGTGGAGACAGACTCATATTTAGACTTTACTGGTTTCAACTCATTTCATCTGGTTTTGGTCTTCAAATTTTCCCAGATTGTGTTTAGAGGAATTCCTGACGGTTCTGTCTTGTGAAACCGGAACATGTTTGTGTCTCCATGCTCTCTGCAGGCGCAGATTGCCTTTCTACAGGGGGAGCGGCGAGGGCAGGAGAACCTGAAGAAGGACCTGGTGAGGCGCATCAAGATGCTAGAGTACGCCCTGAAGCAGGAGAGGTGAGGCTGCTCTCTGATTGGTGGAAAACTGGTCCTCTAATTGGTGCAGAGCTGGTCCTAAAGCCAACTGCAGATTTAAGATGAATTTTAAGTTGAATGTATCTCCATCACTAATGTTCAGCTCGGAGCCGAGTCAGTTTCTTGAAGACATTGTTGGACAGAACCAGACTGGTTCAACTCTGATTGGTCCCACACATCCCAGTTTGTTTATAAATGAATGGTATCACAGGGCTGTGTGATTGGTCCGATTCTCTTTACTATTTTAATTCTTCCAAACAGACAATATTCACTGACAGAAGTTGTTATTTTTGGATCAGAACTTCTGAAAAAGAACCTGCTCAGTCAGTTACCTGATCTGCTTTTAGATGATATTTTTATGACCTGTTTGCTGTTCCTCAGAGCCAAATATCATAAACTGAAATATGGAACGGAACTGAACCAGGGAGAGATCAGAGCTCCGAGTTACGATTCAGGTAAGGAGGGATGAAAGAGGGGTACATGGATGATGGATGGATGATGGATGTTGGTCTGGCTGTTTCTTCCTCAGATGAAGGCAACGAAAGCGAAGCTCTCAGTCCTCCCAACAGCAGCCATCAGTTGAGCTGGAAACAGGGACGGCAGCTGCTCCGACAGTGAGTACACATGCTCGCGCGCACACACACACACACACACATTTCCATGTACTTCAATACAAACTGAGGATCTTCCATTCATTTCAGTGGCTGTACTCATGCCAATCCCAGACATTTTCCCAGACCAGTACTAGTTACTCCAAACCTGAACCAGAACTTAATAATTCACATCTCACTTCTATTCCAACCAGCAGAACTGAACAAAAACTGAGAACCAGGAAAACGTCCTCACTTCCAGAGATGACCTCAAACCATGGGTTGAAGTGGTGAAAGTGGTCCTCAATATGTACTTTAAACAAGTACACACACACACACGGTGTGACGTGTGTCTTCAGGACCATCAGGTCTTCTTATTACAGATCAACTCTCTTAATGGAAACCAACAGCACTGGTCCACTGGGACCAGTTTGAGTTCCTGACCTCTGATGGAAGATCGGATGCAGATCCAGTTCTGACCTTAAGGCAGGAAATCTAGAGGATAGATCTGTGTGTGCTCAGTTCACTGTGCTTAAAAAGGCTGGGATATCTCAGCGTCGTCTCCCTTGTGGTGATGACAAGCTTTCCCATCTGAACCACCTGGCTGGCTGCAGTTGGAACAGCCGCCCCGCTCTGGGAACAGCCGCCCCGCTCTGGGAACGCCGCCCCGCTCTGGGAACGCCGCCCCGCTCTGCTGTTCTGTCCCAGCAGTGTCTGGGAACGCTGAATGGAGGATTGTGTGTTGGTGCGACGGGAGCAGCTGGTACGGGGGGGGCTGCAGGCTGTTCAGGAACGTCGCTACACATCGGACCGGGCCGCTCCGCTGGCTGACAGAACCAACCCGGACCGATCCAATCCAGCTGAGCAGGAATTCTGGGACTCTAGGTAAACTACCTGCTGGTTCTGAATGTTGGGAATATTTGATACTGATTTCCTCATGAGAGAGTGCTGCTGCAGGTTCAGCATTCCCTCCGGATCAGAACCGGGTGCAGAAACCGGAAAACAGATCGGATCGTTCCGTCTCGCTGCCAGGGAATTTTTGGAACAAAAGCAAGACTTGAGGAAGAGGACGGGTCCGGAGTTCTGAACAGAACCTTAGTTCAGGTTAGGACTGATCAGGCAGAACATTATGACCAGTGAGAGGCTGCAGACCAGTCGGGGAGCTTACACTGGTCATACTGGGAAGTTCCTGCAGAACCTTTTTCCTGGTCCGGACTAACTGCCAGCCCGTTTCCCCAGGTACCTCCAGGAGGTCGGATACACCGACACCATCCTGGACGTGAAGTCCCAGAGGGTTCGGGTTCTGCTGGGCCTGTCCGGAGAACCCGGAGACGGCCCGCCGGACCGGAGAACCGGGCCCATGGTGAACGGAACCGAGCCGTCCTCACTGAAGGACAGCGGCATGGTCAGGTAAAAACCGAGCCAGAACCCGAAATACCCAGAACCTTCAGAGAACCGATTAACCGGGTCACCTGTCCCTCCAGTAAACCGGACCTGTCGGACCCGGCTACTGTCCTGGAGGCGTTCCGGTTCATTGAGAGCGCCGCAGCCGAGTTCAGCGACGAAGACGAGGAAGAGGACAGCGAGTCCAAAGACAGAACCGTTCTGGACCTGGCTGCCGTAAGTCCAATCTGTCCTTGTTGGGTCTGGGAGCAGAGCCGGGTTCCTGTGACCCAGACCCAGGTTCTGATGGTTCCAGATGGTGAGGAAGAAGCCGCTGTCGTCCAGCGCCTCTGACCTCAGCGACGACCCTGACACTGAGGAGGCCCTGAAGGGCTTCGACTTCCTGGCCAGTCCGGACGAGCTGGACGGGTCGGATCCGAGGAGAGGGGAGGACTGGGGTGAGCCGGGTCAGGTCCAACAGAACCTCATCAGATTCTGGTCTGACATACAGCAGTAAACCGGGTCGGTTCTGGATCTAAAGCAGTTTATTTTCCAGAAGCTGCAGCTTTGCCGGTTTCCTCCAGAACCTGCTGATCCGACTCTGACCCATGTTCTGGTACTTTAGCAGAACATCTCTCCTTCTCTCTGGTTGCTTAGCAACCCGTGATGGAGGGCTCTCCCACGCAGCCAATGATTCAACACCTCAGCGTGACTCAGAGCTGCTTTCACACGCAGCCAGAACAGCTCAGAACTCAGAACTGGGTCCAGACGGGCCAGATCCGGGCAGAACCCAGACCGGATCCGGGTTCTGGTCTCAGCTCACTGTTGAACTTCAGCTGTCGGTCAGAACGGCCCGGTTTACTCCCAGATCAGCTGGAAGGAGGATCAATAGAAATGCTGCTCAGCAGCTCCCCCTGCAGCTCAGATGCAGCACTTTACACTTTATTCATGCTTTTATTTTCTTAAACATTTTGATTTCACTTCCTTTTATTCTGATTCTTCTTCTCTGTCTGAAGTATTATTATATTTACAGAAATATGATCAGCTCCAGACTGTAAGCATCTCGTTCCCGTTCTGTTAACCTGCTGTGATGTTGTGATGGTTCTGGTTCTGATGGTTCTGACCCACAGAGAAGGAGGAACCGGCGGCTCTGGGAGAACTGGGCTGGGATGTGGACCAGAGCCTGATCGCCCAGCTGAAGGAGCAGTACAGGAAGGAGAGGAAGGGGAAGAAAGGAGTGAAGAGTGAGTTCTGATCCGGCTGCTTCCCCTCAGGCTCCATTCCGGGTTTTCCAACCTGCTGGGTTGACTTTCCTGGAAGAGGAATTTCTATGTTGTTTTTTCTTCTTCTTTTCAACTTTTTCCTCCTTTATTCTGTCAAACAGCGCCCCCTACCACATGTAAAGATAAATACAGTTTATTTCACAGTTTAATCTTAGATTAAAACTGAAAATTCAACGTGGTTCTTATCAGTTTATATAAAAAACAATTGGAAAATAAGGGTAAAAGAAAAAATACTTTCTTTAGGAGAATAGAATTGTTGGGAAACTATTATTGTGCAGAATTATTACGCAACCAAGTTTTTAAAAAAACATAACCCTGTTCCTGTTTATGTTCTCTACTGTCTGTTTTATTTTGATTCAGTATGTTTCTTTGTTTTGCATAAAGTTACTGAGGAAAAATAGAAAACGTGGGGAGAGGAAATGGAACTGCTGTGTAAACGGACTTCAAAATAAGAGCAGTCGTTAGCTCAAACCTAAAACACGTCAAACTTTATTCAACATATCGTTAACGAACCAGCTGAGTAAATTAGCATTCAGAATTCCTCTGGAAAAAGTAGTGGAAGCTAAATGCGGTCTTCAGAATTAGCAAATGTGCTAAAGCACTACGCTAAGTGTTGGCTCTGCTGTTAGCAGACGTGTTCCCACTGCTGGCTGTTTGCAGCATTTTCTGGAGCATCTCTGACAAACTGTTGGTCATTTTTCATCTCAGAGCTGCTGAATCTGTTTTCCTTCACAAAAGCTGCTGCCTCATAATTAACTATTCACACCTTGGAGGTGTTGACCTCTTTAGGCCACGCCCCCTGGAGACACTACATGCCTGATGATGTCTGGTTCTGTTGCTTCCTCCTCCCCTCTTCCTCAGGGCCGAACCGCTCCAAGCTGCAGGACATGCTGGCTAACCTGCGGGACACCGAGGAGCCGCCGCCCCTGCTGCCGGCCGTGTCGCCTCCGTCCCGCCCCAACGTTCCCAGACTGAGCGAACAGGAAGTGGGCCGGCCGGATGACGGTAAGCTCCGCCCCCTCCGCCACGCCGATGCGTTGCAGCACAGCTACATTCCTGCTGTTGGTCCCTGCAGAGCCAATGGCGTTCCTGCCGTCTGGAGGGAAGTCCTTCATCCTGGGCAGAGTGGATGAGGCCGCCTCCAACGAGCTGGCGCTGGGAGAACTGGGAGAACTGGGAGAACTGGCCCAGCTGACGGTCGCCAATGAGGCGGAGAGTCTGGGATACGACGTGAGTCCAGAGACATGTTCCTGTTGTATGGTTGGATGACCGGTTGGATGAACAGACCCTCTCGTCTCTCCCCAGATGGCCTCGAACTCGGAGGCTCTGAGGAAAACGTGGAACCCAAAGTTTGCCCTGCGGAGCCACTTTGACTCAGTGCGCGGCCTGGCCTTCCACCCGGTGGAGCCGGTTCTGGTCACGGCGTCCGACGACCACACTCTGAAGCTCTGGAACCTGCAGAAGACGGCGCCCACCAAGAAGTGAGGCGCCACGCTGAACTTTACCTGACCCCAGAGCCAGCCAGCTGCCTCATGATGTGTTCGCTGCTCCAACAAAGTGGGAGTTTTTGGTTCTGATGCATTTGAACAATACAGAATTTTCCATTTTATTTCTGAATTTGTAACTGATGTAATTCTCAGTCTGGCCTGAGGGGGGCAATGTTTCCTGATGGAGCTGCTTTAATGTGACGAAGATGATGAGAGGGAAGGAGGTTCAGACCCAGTTTGAGACGCTGGGAGCTATGGGAAGCGCTTCAGTTGGACTGGTTTTCATCTGAACTTCCTGTTCTGTTCCTCCAGGTGTGCAGCGATAGACGTGGAGCCCATCTACACCTTCAGGGCTCACAGGTGAGCCGGCCTGACCCATGACCCCTGACCTGATGATCCCTGACTCACTGACACGTTTCCCAGTTGAGCATGTTTGGTTCCAGTTGATCCAGTCCTGGCTTTCCTGTCTGCTTCCTAAAGACGACTGAATTACACGCTGCAGACTGAAATCCGCTCCACGTTTTCCTACAAACGTTCCTGTTTTTATTATCATAAATATATCAGATCTGCATTTCCACACCTGATTGGTTCAAATCAGACTCTATTGGAATATTTGGATCGGACTAGAACCTATTAGAACCTGGTCTGGACCGGGTCAGAACCCGCCTGGACTTGGTTTTGGCCAGGACAGAACTGGTTCTGATGGTACCGTCTCTGTGTGCAGCGGCGCCGTCCTCAGCGTCACCCTGAGCTCCAGTGGCGCCCAGTGCTTCAGCGGCGGGTCGGACGGAACCATCCAGAGCTGGAACACGCCCAGCCCCAATGTCGACCCGTACGACTCCTACGGTACGGCGCCGCCGGCCCGGCCCGGTCCGGTCCGGTGGAACCCTCCTCTAACGGTGGCTTGTCTGTGTCCCGCTGCAGAGGCCTCCGTCCTGCGGGGGGCGCTGCGCGGCCACTCGGACGCCGTGTGGCGCCTGGTCTACAGCTCGCCTCACCACCGCCTGCTGTCCGCCTCGGCCGACGGGACGGTCCGGCTCTGGAACGCCGCCGACGTCTCTCCGGCGCTGGCCGTGTTCAACGGAAACGGAGGTGAGGACCCACATCCATGCATGTGGCGGGCCGGTTCCGTTAGAGAAGTTCTGCTGATGACCCGGTCGGGACCGGACCCTGTGTTGTGGTTCTGTTGCAGACCTGGGGGTCGCGACCTCTGTGGACCTGGTGAGCAGCGACCCGGCCTACATGGTGACGTCGTTCGACTCGGGTCACATCGGACTCTTCAACATGGAGACGCAGCAGCTGGTTCTGAAGTTCGACTCCGCCGGGCCTGCAGGTAGGACGGGCCGGAGGGAAAACCCGGCACGGATCGGGACGATTTCAGGGTGATTTCAGGTTGTTCCAAATAGAACGGACAGCGCCACCCTGCTGTGCTGCACTGCATTACATTATTCTGCATGAAGCTTCCAACTATTAACTGTAAAGTTCTTGATTTTATTCATAATAAAACTACAAATCCCAGCAGGAGCAGCTTCCACAGTGTCTGAGCTTCCTGAGCCCGCTGCTAGGGGGCGCTGCTTCCAAAGTTACACTGGGTTATTTATCCTGTCAAGAAAGAAGGAAATGGGTCATATTCTCAGCATTTCATCCATTCATAAATGTCACAGTTTCAGACTAAATACTTAATTAGCAAACAAAATGTTCAACGTGAAGCTAAATAATTATTTGATCTGATTCCATTAATGAATGAGTGAAATGACATGGTGAAAATGTTTGTCAGGCTAAATAGTCCAAACATGGCTGTTGGTTTCCTGTGAGTGTTCCCAAACGGCTCGCTGTACTCTGGTACCGGTTGGATCCGATCCGGTCCCACCCACCAGGGGTTAGCGGACCCGTGATGGTTCTGTCTGGGCGGGATTGGTTCTGAATGGGTCCAGGTTCTTCACCAGGTCCATTTCCAGCCCATACGGTTCTGGTTCTGGTGTCTGTCTCCCCAGAGTGTCCCTGTAAGATCAACCGGGTCCTGAGCCACGCCACGCTGCCCATCACCGTCACCGCCCAGGAGGACCGCCACATCCAGTTCTTCGACAACAACACAGGTGGGAGCGCCGCCTGCTGGTTCCGGCCGGATCGCCTGCGGTTCCGTCTCCTAACCGGGTTCTGTGTTCCTGAAGGTAAACCGATCCACTCCATGGTGGCGCACCTGGACGCGGTCACCTGCCTGTCTGTGGACCCGAACGGGCTCTACCTGATGTCAGGAAGTGAGTCTCCTGAGCTTCCTGCAGCAACTCGGGCCGGAATCACACCGGAACATTTTCCCGACCCACTCAAAGCGATCCCGGCTCCAATTTCAGCTCTCTGCTTTGTGTTCCTCCGCCACATGAAATCCCAGGAAACCAGGAAGTTCCTGGAACGCCATGACTGAAATAATCGATCATTCTGGCAATCAATCAGAAAAATTGGCTCATTCTGCATGTTGTTCAGTTAAAGCTGCACAAACTTTTAGAATTTTTTATATATATTTGTTGAAACTGACACCAGTTTGACAAACAATCTGTGAAAAAGTCGATCTCCTTCTCCGAGCGCTAACTGGAAACAACCAATCAGAGCCCGGAGGCGGGTCTTAGCGTTGTCAATCAGGATCTCATGACGTTGCCTATGTCCTTCCCCCTGTCATTAGCAGCGAGTACATGAGATTGATTGACAGCGCTAAGCCCCTCCCCCTGGCTCTGATTGGTAGGTTTTGGTGCGTTTCTTCAGACAGCAGCTCAGGGAAAAGATGACAGTTTGAACAAATATGAAAAAAAAAACATTCTTTATAAAAGTTAAATATTGCAGCTTTAACAATTTAAGCTTCCTAATAGAATAAATGCATTAAAACAAATAATTCCTTTTAAAATAAGAAAATAAACATTTTATTGCCTAAATGCAGTAACACATTCCTTTAACCGAACCACTGAATTTTACATATAAAGATGTTTTCATCTTAAATGTAAAATATTTATATTTATTGTTCAGGTTTGGCTTCATTTCTGCTCTGAATTCTCCAGTTATGGATTAATCTGTGACTAAATTAATCAGGATTAATGGTTTCACCAGCTCCTGCTTCCTGAGGAACTAGAATATTCCCAGGAATGTTCTGCGTCCTGATTGGCTGTCTCCCTGCCAGGTCACGACTGCTCCATCCGCCTGTGGAACATGGAGAGTAAGACCTGCATCCAGGAGTTCACCGCCCACCGGAAGAAGTTCGACGAGTCCATCCACGACGTGGCGTTCCACCCCACCAAGTGCTACATCGGCACCGCCGGCGCCGACGCGCTCGCCAAGGTCTTCGTATGACCCGGATCCGCAGGGGGCGCCGCCGTGCCGACCCGGGCGGACCTGGTTGGACCCGGCTGGACCGGGCCGGACCCGGGCCGGCTGCGTCCCGCCCCGACGTTCCGAGGGAACCAGGAGGAACAGGAAGCAGCTTTTACTCCAACCCCGGTGCGGCGTTCCGCTGCCGGGATTTCTCTGTGTTTATGACGTGCCTTTTTCCTCAGACGGTCCTTTAGCCATTCACCGGCAGAACCCGGCCAGAACCATGAGGAGAACCCAACGGGTCCAGGGTCGGCCTGGTTCTGCCCCCTACAGGCCGACCGCATCATCGACAGAGTTTTCCTTTCAAGGTTCAGTCCAGTTTGTTTCAGGACTTTTCTCTCCGTGAGCCGTGTCAGTTCTCCTGGAGTTCTGGACCCGGTTCTGGCCCGGTTCCAGGCAGCCTGTCGGACTTGTTGCACTGCAGAGGAAGACCTGTGGCGACGCTCAGATTCTTAGTGTTTCTGTTGATTCCTGCCCAATCTGTGGATTTCCGGCTGAGCGGCCGGTTCTGTGTCGGATGTTCTGGTTCTGGTAGGTCCAGTTTGTTTTCTCCATCTGTTCCTGCTGGGATGTTTCTGGAGTCGTTCCTCTAGGGTGCAGCAGCGAGGAACGCCGGTGTAGACATCGGAAACAGGAAGTGTACAGTTTGTGCCAGGAAATCTGAGCATCCGGAGGAAACGGGACCAGAACGGACCTGAACGGATGTTTTCTTCTTCCTGATTCTGGATGAACTGAAAGAAAAGTTCAGCTCTCCTGAGGAGACGTTCCTCAGTTTTATCTGTTTAACTTTAAGCTTCCAGAACATTTTTCCAAGCTGGATCAGCTGATTGTTCCTGAGGTGACATGAGAGAAAAATCTGCAGCCGATTATCGGATCACATTCCCACCAGAATCCGATGTCGGGGGAATTTCTGGAAATCCGGTCCGGTTCATCTCTGAACCAATCGGTCCAGTTAGGAGGTAAAAACCAGGAATCCTGCAGACAAGTCTGGAAAAAACAGAAACATAAAAAAGGGAACATTTTATATTTTATTACTGTGGAAACAGGAACTAGAGGTGTAAAAGGTGTGGCCCGGGGGCCATTTGTGACCCGCTGCACTGTGTTTTGCGGCCGTCCTGACCAGCTGGGAAATTTTTAATTAGGATGAAATTATTTATAAAGTTATTAAAATCATCTTCCAGTAATCAGATCAACCTGCTAACCTCCACTCTGAACCCAGATCTGATTTAATCTCGTGGATTAAACTTTGCTAAACGTGAGCGTTTCCAAGGTAACGGTGACCAAACAGCTGCTCTAACTGAAGGAAACAGATTTTCCAAAATGAGTCGGTTTATTTCAGTGGAGCTTCAAAGAACCAGACGCCTGATCCCGTCACCCAAATCCTCCCAGGGATGGAAATGAGCCTGAACTCCAGCTGTCCTCCATCTTCCTTATCAGACTCTCAGCTGCCTTCGCCAAGCAGCTCTTCATGATCCATCCATGCGATCGGCGCTGGTGGATGTTTAGTGTACTACGGAGCAGAAAGCTGACGTTGTTGTTTCTCCCTACATCCACTGGGTGGCGCATGTTGCTACAATCAATAGTAGCCACACAGGCTCACCCGCTAGAAGGAAACAAACGCACACAGTACAACACTTTCATTCTATTGGCTGAGAGGTTGCCAGGCGACTGTGCCAAATAGCGTTTCCGTAAGCGAGCAGAGACTGTGAGCGTGAGGAGAAGTTTAGAGTACAAGCGTAACAAGTTTTGAGAAGAAAGACATGAAGCCCTGCTTTCAAAATGAACATGTGTCCTCTTGAATTATGGCAGGATTCCTGGGGAAACCGGGCCTGATCTCTGCTGATCTTTATCGATCTGTAGCCATAAAACCAGCAGCTGATCCATCAGATGGTTCTGGACAAACTGTTGCTTCACAGGAAGTGATGTCATCAGAGAAGCACTTCCTGTTTCTTCTGATTGGTCCACTGATGATCAACACAGAACTGAGATATTCTGAAAGGTCCAAATCAAGATGTGACGTCTCAGGACACAGAACTGTTTTTAGATCAACTTCTTTGACACACTTTGTGGGAGAAGAAGGAAGAATCTCCAGATTCCCAGGACGGAGTGGGAATCCTGCAGGAATCCTAAAACTTTTGGTTTGGATAAATTTGGCTCTGGATGGTGAGCAGGATGAGGATGTGATGGAGTATTTTCAGGAAAAACTGGGATTTCTTCCCGTTTCCCAGCTGTGATCTGTTCCTCCTCCGGGCGGGTCGCTCTGGAACGTGATTCCTGGTCCGGTCCAGTCCGGTCCATTATGGGTTCAAGAGTCAGGAGATCAGTCGGACCTTCAGGAACCAAATAAAACCTCAGGAACATTCAGTTGACCCAGATTCTCAGGCCACGAACCAAACTTTAGAGCCGGTTCTGGTTCTGGTTCTGGCTGGCTGTAAATCCTCCTTCTTCTTCTTTGGTTTGGTGACCCGCTGTGGCCGTGCTGCTCATGTGTTGCTTTCTTTTTCTCATGTATCACTAACAATAAAGGAGATGTTGAATGTCAGAAATTCTGGTTCCGGATGTTTTTACAGTCGGATCAGGAAGCAGAAGAGTTTCCAACCAAACTCATTTTTATTTAATTTAATAATAATGTCACTGCTTTTCATGTCAAACTGAATTAAAACTGAAATGTCGCTTTATTTGGGAATGTCCTTCTGGTGCCGGTCCGGTTGGACTTTCAGATCTGATCGGACTTCCTCCAGAACCTTCTGGGCGGCTTTAAAGGGAAACTGGAACAGCAAGATGCCGGCGGCCTCCAGGTCGCCCTTCAGGCTGCGCAGCAGCTGCTCGTACTCCTGCAGGACGGACAAGCGGGACATCAGAGACGAGCGGGACGTCAGAGACGAGCGGGACATCAGAGACGAGCGGGACGTCAGAGACGAGCGGGAAGCTGCAGGTACACTGACCTGGGCGCCCTGGTCCAGGTCCAGCTGCAGAGCCTCCATGGCGGTCCGTTTGGACTCCAGGATCTCCTGGAAACAGGTTTCAGAGTCAGAAAATCCCAGAAGAACCGAGGTCACTCCTTCACTTCCTGAAAGCTGCTAGTTAGCATCAGATCCTGGAATTAGGCCATTCTGCTAACTTATGTAGCAACATGCTAACTAGCTTCTAGCTACGTTAGCTTAAAGTTTTACTACATGTTTTCAGAGGAGTTTCTCAAGTATTATGAACCTGGTGGCGACTGTGATGTTATCAGTTCAGTTGCTAAGCTAACACTCTGTGATGTCATCAGTTCAGTTGCTAAGCTAACACTGTAATGTCATCAGTTCAGTTGTTAAGCTAACACTCTGTGATGTTATCAGTTCAGTTGCTAAGCTAACACTCTGTGATGTCATCAGTTCAGTTGCTAACCTAACACTCTGTGATGTCATCAGTTCAGTTGCTAAGCTAACACTCTGTGATGTCATCAGTTCAGTTGCTAAGCTAACACTCTGTGATGTCATCAGTTCAGTTGCTAAGCTAA